AAGAAAGAAAGAAAGAGAGAAAGAAAGAAAGAAAGAAAGAAAGAGAAAGAAAGAAAGAAAGAAAGAAAGAAATGCAGAAAAAGAAAGCAGAAATTTTAAAAAAATGACTTCCCACTTCTTTTAAAGCAGATATAAGTAAAGTAGATTAAACTTTCACTCTAAGATTTCAACCTAACATCCATTTTTCTATAATCTATGAATTTTACTAATCATCAAATCCATGTATCGTAACTTCTTTTTTTTTCCTGTTTTCCCGCAAAAGGTCCATAAGGGTCTGGCTTTCAATACTCTCAATCGTGGTATCCTTCCAGATCAGTTGTGGGGGTTGGGATCGTGCAACTATGTTGTGCTGGTTCTCTTCCTTCCTCTGGGAGTGGTTCTCCCAGTGCTGATGGGGAAGGAGGTTTGCCCACAGCACTTGCTTTGCAGGGTGTGGTGGGATTCGACAGGCTCCCCACTCCCGTTTAGCATCTATGGGAAGTCGCTAGGCAAGTTCATCCGACAGCACAGGGTGAGGTATCGTCAAGATGACAATGATATCCAGCCGTATATCCTTACCGTGCGCCAACCAAGTGATGCCATGGAGTTCTGTCCTGATGTCTGGAGGCTATGGGGGTTGGACGGGGCAGAACAGGCTTCAGCTCACCCCTAGCGAGTGCCAGCCCCAGCAGGTAGACCAGACCAGGCATCAACTCCCCAAGACGGCTAAGGCTGCTTCTATTGAGATTGCCTGTAATAAGAGAGTCTGATTGTGCTGTCCATGATCATGTTTATCCCATCCCATCAATCTGGCAGGATAGTAGGTATGTTACAGGCCCTTTCAATTAAAGGGTACTACCTGGCGGGACCCAGGAAAGAAGCCTTTTCTGTTGCCGCACCTGCTCGGACTCTCCCTGACCCTGTTAGCCTTTCACAAGGCCCTGAACCCATCGCTGTGCTCATGGGCTTGGGGGTCGGAATGTCTGTTGGACCCTGTGAATTAGTTTATTGAAATATCTGTATTGTATTTGTATTGATTTTTTTTTTAAATCTTGGCTGCTGATTATTTATTTTGTATTTTTTAGTTTTTGCTTGGTTTTTTTTTTTTTATTGTGGTTAGCCACTCAGAGTCACTTTTTTGAGATGGGCAGCCATATAAAAAGAATGAAGGAAATTCATGCATCTTTGAAAGACCTGCAGTTTGCTGTTGGAAAGCACAGCATCTGCGTCTTCTCCTTGGTTAGGCAAGTGATGCTTAAGACAAACGATGGTGTTGCTTTTATTTGCTCCTCTGCTTTTTTAACCTACACACCCTCTACTGCATCACCATCTTAATTCACTTGGTTTTCTGAACAGTAGGTACAATTGTCGTTCCTCCTTCCTTTCAGTTGCTTCTGTTCATTATGTACATCCTTTCATTGCTGTATTCCAGTCAAGGAAGTCATCCCGCTGTTACACCTACTGAATTTTATTTGCTTTTTTTCATGAGTTCAACCTTATCTTGTTTATTTTCTATATTCTGAACATTAGTATGAACTTTAAGAGTCAATATTTTTCCTGGTTTTTTATTGAAAGGTTTAAAAGATGTCATTACAGCAGTACGTCCATATCCTTTTACAATGCAAAAGTCTGTCTGAGGTTCTTGTTTCAGAATTTCCAACTCCATCTCCCACAGGATTCTCTTTAAAGCCCTTTGTGTTCATGCTCACCATGGTTTGGCCAAACACATTTTAACCAGTCCTTGTGAAGTCAATCCATGGACCCCTCTGAGACCTGGATATTTTCTGTCAACACCATTTGCAAAGCTGGTGTTGACAGAAAATATCCAGGTCTCAGAGCTGGTCTTTCATATGCAATATATTTGTTTTCTTTTCCTGTCAACCGGTAGGACATATGGGAGAACCAGCTGAGGCCCCCGGAGTCTGGAGCTTCCTTCCTACATCTATGAGCCTCTGAGGATACTGCTCTCTCCTTCACAAGCTAATGAGTTTAGCTGGTACATGGTTGTTTCAGTTTCTTGTAGCAACAAATCACCCACCAGCACAAACTTGTCTTCCTTTTCTTGCAGGGCTTACTTGTATCCCCTCTGCCCTTCAGAGTTCCACGTTGTGTACCACTCTCTACAATGTCTCCTTTTCTTACCTGAAGGCTTAAGCTTGTTTCTTTTTGGGGGGTCTGAAAACTACTACTGAGTTCCAGTGAAGCACAATATAATCTATGACTCTTGGATATCTGTTCTTGTCCACCGGACTTTCTTTTCTTTTGACCCTCTTCCTTCTGGAGAGTTGTATCAATTTCTCTTGTAGACCTTCCTGTTTTTAATCTGATAGGTTTGTATTCTCTCTCATCAACTGAAGTGTGGCCATTCACTGCTCCAGTCCTTTGACTTTTTCTTCATGGGTTGCACAAGCTTGTACTTGTAGCAAATACACACCAAGTTTTTCTTAGGGAGGAAGATAAAACATGCCACAAGAATTACAGGTCATGCCTGTTCTTGTCTGTTTCTCTTTACTTTAGTTCCTTAAGGGTCCATCACTAGACTGCTTTTATTTCTACTTGACCTTCCAAAGCTCTCAGATTAGCCGCATACACACACTGTTCACTTAGATGGAAAAATTGAAAAGAACTCCCTTGCTGAACTCCAATGGAAAGTCTGTTTCTCTCCCTGTTCACTTGCTCAGAGTTAGATGTGGCTTATGACACCTTTGCTGCAAAGATGACTGTTCAGAATGCCTTTATGAGGAGCTTGTCTGGGCATTTTCCACAGGAGCAATCTAACATTGGCATTGGCCAGGACAGTGTGAATGGTGAAGCACATGCTTTGTCCATGGAAGATAGCTGCGCTCTCTAATAGCAGGGCTGGAAAAGGCCTTTCTTTGCCCCTGATCAGAAATGCAACAATTGCAGTACCCAATTCTGGCAAGCTCATTGCACTGACTCTGCGGAAAGCAATTTAGTCGGTCCCTAAAACAGTCTTCTGCAACCTGGAAGCCATCCAGATGTGTGGACATCAACTCCCAGTAATGGTTCTGCTGGCTGAGGTGTTGAAGTCCACAGGTAGAAAAGGAGTCCAAGTCAGGGAAGCCCGTGCTACTAGAGATCCATTCATATGTTATTGTTGAAAACAGGGCTGGGCTCACACAACATGCTGGACTAGGCTGACATGGTTGTTCAAGGTTCAGTGTGTTGTGGGAACCAAGCCATTAACATCATGTCATGAGAGGAGGGGAGGGGTTGGTTTGGGCATGGCATACTATGCAAACACTGGCCATTGTGTTTTCCTAAACTAGGGTTAAGAATGGCACGTGGATGGAGCCACAAGTTCAACCAGGCAGAAATCCATTTTTGTTGTGCAGTTTCCTCAGGATGATTCCAGCCAGCTGCTCTGACTTATGTTTTGGGGAATGTAGGAATGGAAATTGGGAGCAGGGCCTGGCTTTCTTTCTGCTCAGCTGTGGACTGTTTTGGCCTCTCTGGTAAGAGCGCTTTCCTGATGGGTAGAGCAGGAAAGGGAGCTGCAGAGCCCCCTCCTTCTCCTCTCCCCAGTAAAGGTAAGGCCAGCGTTGAGCAAAACACTGGTAGCCGAGTCCGTTTGGCAGCCAGGAGGAGGTGGGCTGGCTGGCTGTGCTCAGTGTATCCTGGAGAATCTAGGAAGGGTAGGGGAAGGAAAATGGAGGTCTGGTCTCTCCTTCCCAAAGGTTCTGTGTGGCTGCCCAGGGTTCACTCCTTCCGTTGTAGTCCCTCTAGAGAAAGTGTCCTGTTTGCCTTGACTGCTGCAGAAGCACTTCCTTGTAATTAAAACAAAGCCTGAAAGACAGATATTGTGAACCTGAAACCCCATTAGTGATGTGGGAAAGATTGCCAAGTTAATTGGAAAGAAAAAGCCCCAAATAGTATCACTTTAAGAGCTCAGTGGTATCCGTAGCCTCTAACATCATTAAATCATTGTGTGTTTTTGAAAGTAATCACTTCAGTAGGAAGCACAGTACAGAGAAACGGTTCTTTCTTACTTGATTTTCCAGCCAGCTGGTCACTTCAGCCATTTGCAAATTGCCTCTTCCTCAGGCTCCCAAAAGTTGAGCGGCTGATCCAGAAAGCCCTCTGGAATCCTGAGTTTCGGTCTTCGTGGCCATCATCCTTTCCTCTTTCCAGAGTAGGAGACAAAACTCTCCTGTTGCTTTTCTGGGGTTCCTGGTAACAAAAACATAGTCACAGATGATCCGTAGAAGTGCAACTGAAACAGAACAGAACACTGTAATTTGGTAAAAATCTTGGGACAGGCACAAAAAGTCATAACACAGCTTTTTTGTCTGACTTGTTCCCTCCTTCTCTGTTCCTCAATGTGTTGCGACTCCCTACTCTGTTCCTCATAGCGGGGCAGCAAGTTGCACTAAGTCACTTAGTAAATCTGAGCTTCACTAGGCCAGCCCAATAAAATATTTTCTGACTCAGTGCTGCTTTGTTTCCCAGTCAGGCCCTTCTCCCAGCCAGTTAATACTTTTCCCAGTTAATACTTTTCCCCACTTACACTTCTGCAGATAAAGGCAGTTGCTCTTCACTGCGCAACCTTGTACAAAGTAAGACTCCGGGCCTCACCTGACAGTTTGGAAGAGTTTAAAGGGCAGCCGGGAACAAAAGTGCAAGGTTACCTAGTGATGGATAAATCCCATAGTTCTTAATATTGAATGTTCAGATCCATCTTCCTCCACTGTTGAGTTTTAACCTTTTCTATCCTTCATTGCTCTGCAAGAGTTTTAAATAAAAAGACTGATGGTTCAGATGCTATAAGTTAACATACTCAAGGTGCAAAACTTTAAGTGGAGTTCTAAAAACTAAACGAAAACCCAAATTCCTGAATGAAATGAAGCTTTCAGTAAGACTGACATGAATGGCATCTGTCTGGAAGAAGAGATTTAATGGTGATAGGAGGAGAAATTTGTTACCTTTCATAGTCAAAGAATGCAGCCATCTGATAAATGGATAATTTTTCAAGTTCTGGTTTTGTCAGATTTCTTTTCTTTCCAGTTAATGAATTTGTTTTTGAACCTTTGCTACATTGCAGGTGAGGAAGAATGATGCAATTCATCTCTGTTTTGGTTTTTTAGAGTTTGTTTGGATACATGGAGGTTGAAATACAGGCTCCATGTCTGTCCACAGAGATCTGGAGAAAATGAACCAGTCCGCCATGTGTAGCTCCAGGAGAACAGTGGATTAAAAGGGGTGGGTCTCTGGGTGGCAGAAGCTCAGAGCCACCCATTGGGGCTCCCCCTTTGTGCAGGGAACAGGTTTGATCTGATACAAACCCCATTTCTTACAGTTTTGCATTCTCTTTTCTTCACAGCACACATTTTGCAGGAGATGTGCCTTAACCTCTGGTAGGTACTTAAGATTATTTTGAGCATTGTGTTTGAGATTATTGTTGGTACACGCAAGCATCTTTTTCTGCTTATCTTTTACTTCTCTGTCAAATACAAATTTAAAAAATGGCACCTGGGATTTCCCTGTTGAATGGACTCTTGCACTTTTTATGGCCTCTGAGAGATTTCATTCTGCCACCTACTTTTGCCAGATGTAGCTCCAGATACTTGTTTTGGGTGACCAGTAAGGACAAGGTAGTCAACTCTGGTGGCTGAGGGCTATACAACTCTAGAGGAGTCGCAGTGGCCAGGGCAATGATGCAAGTAGATGGGATTTGGATTTTCCAGTTTTCTGATATTTTTGAGGAGACTTTCCCTTTTTTCAGTAAACCTGTTTTAATGTCTGCACTACAATGTTTGCGTCTTTCCTGTCTGAAATCATGGTTGAAAGGTAGTCCAAGGGATTGCAAAAAACTCAGCTGGGAGAAGCACAAAGAGATAGGTGATCTTGGGGAATGACCTAAGATTAATACACATGAAGATATGTGAATTATTTAATTAATGAAATGTATGCCAATAAATCGATGAGTTTACAAATTCATGCATTCAGTGGAGTTAGTTATGTTTAATTGGACAACAGCTTTACTTAGAAAATGGATTCGAATTATGCCTTGAACTGAGTTTAAAAGTGGCCTCTTGATTGCATTCCTTTTCTTTGTGCTCAACACTATCATCTTCCCCTGGAGTTTGTCAATTCAGGCTTCATACTACATTCTAAACCATAATTGATCACAGCTTGGGGTGATGTCTGAATTAAGTCATCCTTCTCCTTGCAGAGAAGTGCCCAGTGGACAATGCCAAACTGACGGTGGTGGTCAACAACATTGCAGTGGCTGAACAAATTGGGGAGCTCTTCATTCACTGCAAGTACGGCTGCCGGTCCACCGTGAGTGGCAAACCTTCAGCCTTTGAGGTGGACCCCCATGGGTGCCCCTTCACCATTAAACTGAGTGCCAGGAAGTAAGTAGGTGCGAAGCCTCTTCCCGTGATTGCTGGTTTGAGTTGGCATGGCTGCTTCTAGGCTTGAAATTGTGGCTGGGATTCTCAGCAGGGTGGCATTTTCCTTTCCCTTGCCCCCCTCCCATATTTTTGACAGTGTAATAGAGGATGGACTACTCTGTGGAGAGATTTGGGAGGAGACCCCTGGCAATACTGCTGCGGGCAAAGGGAGCACTTTTTTCCCAAGAAATCCAAGCTGGGGGTGGGGGAGGTGGAAGAGGAACGGCCGAACCTTTTAACCCTTTGGGTGGCTTTCAAGGGTGGAGATGGGAGGAAGAGGCCTCCCAAACTGCTCCTTTTCCTTAAAACTACCCTAAATAATTGAAAAACAGGCTGAAAAAGTGTAACTGAAATTCAGCCATTTTGCTACTGCCTCTCGATGGCTAAATCTCAAGTAGCTGGGGAGGGTCACAAATGGAGTCTGTCCATGGTCTGTCCTCTGCTGCAGTAGAGGCTGAATCGGCTTTTAGCATAGGATGAAACAAAAGGTTGATGTTGCAATGTACATATCTCAGTCCCCTTTGTTCCAGAGCTGGCAAAGCTGCTATGAATACTTTAGTGAATTAATTAAACCTTTCTGGTTCAGATTGTATGTCTAGCTTGGCCACAACTCCATTTCCGTAGCCACAGCTCATAAGACCACAAAAACTGAATGGTTACAGCCCAGCGTCATGGAAGAATAGAGAGATGGGTGGGAAGAATCATCTCATCAGTTTTCATTTCAGTAAAAGCGTGGCTTTAGTGTTTCATCCTGCCTATGAAGACATTCATTTTGTGAGAGCGTCTTATGGTGTTCTCAAAATCCCAGAATACCCACCAACCCAAATGTTGGTACTCTGCTTTATGGCAACTGTGTGGAAGTGGCAAGCTGCCCTCAAGTTGCCAAAAGAGGGAGATGCCCAGAGGATTTCCCTGATGCCACTCTAGAAATGCATCTGGTCCCTTTGCCAAAGAATAGTAACCCAGTGAGGGGGGAGGTTTGTCTGTGTGTGGTACTCATTTTCTGGCATTCCCCTCTTTTATGTCTAGGGACCATGAAGGCAGCTGTGACTACCGGCCAGTGCGCTGCCCCAACAATCCCAGTTGCCCTCCGTTGCTCAAGATGAACCTGGAGGCACATCTCAAGGAGTGTGAGCACATCAAGTGCCCTCATTCCAAATACGGGTAAGCAGGTATCGAGACCCCCCTAAGAGAGTCTTGCCCTAGAATGAATTCTTCTCTGCCCATCCCAAGAGTCATTCCCCAAGCCTTGTCCCCGTGACCCAGTGCCGGGTCCCCATTATGCTTGGCTCTGGTGCGTTCTGCAATATTTCGTCCTGAGTACCCCTCACTCCCTCAAATCAGAAGCCAGTTTTGTTGCAATTGTAATAATTGTAATATGGGAAATACTTATTTATTTAATGTTCTTCCATTGTATCTCTAAATGTATGCAGTTCAGGAGCTGCAGTCAATGAAAAGACAAGCCGTGTCGGGGGGACATATAAGGAAGCCAGCTCCTAAGAGGCCAAGCTCATTGAATGATTTTAGCTTGAAAGTTTGGCAAGGGGAGTGTGTGGGGGAGGCTCCAAGCAACATGGTCAGTCAAGGAAGTTCTGTGGTGATCTGCAAAAAATGTCCTCCTGTCTAAAGAGAGCCCAAACTGCACCTGATGGATGTGCAAGCTTGTGTCCTAATCGGAAGAGAGGGAAAGGGGGCTTGAGAGAAGCTCAGCACTGCAGCACATCAGAGATGAGAAGTTCTTGGATAGAACAAATAAACTTTGTTCCATTCTCTGGCATTCATATCCCTCAGGAGAAAACAGAGGGAAGGAGAGGGATATGAATGCCAGAGAACAGTAGAAGAAGACAAATGGAAGCACATGACCCAGAGAACCAAGAGGATCCAGACACCCTTAGGGTTGACATTGCTTCTCAACAGGTATATCTCATTCCATGAGACATCTATTGGTACCTGACTCGCCAACTCCAATTTCATGGAACAGAGCAGAAATCACTCAAGCCATCATAGGTCAATGAAGCCCAAGAATCACTTTTAGAAAGAAGAGGCATGTATGATACTCTGCTGAGAGGAAGTTAGGACACAGTGCGTAGGCCTGAGACAATGCCACAGGAAGTTGTTGACTTTCAGATGCCCATATCCAGTATGCAACAGACAGGCTGCTGAGACTTTTCAAAGCCATCAGTAATGATCCCTTCCTACTGATTCATGTGGGAATGAACAACACTGCCAGGAGGACCTTGAAGGCCTCCAGGGACTGTGAGGCCCTGAACAGGAAGCTGAAAGAACTGAGACCATCAGAAGAGTGTTTTATCAGTCCTTCTAGTTGACAAGCATACTTAAGAAGAGAGAATGAGATCCTGGAAGTGAACCACTACCTATGTAAATGGAGACGGTGAGGAGGGTTTGGGTTCCTTCACTGCATTACCAGTCTGAAAGACTCCAGGCAAGATGGGCTATATCTCACAAAGACTAGGAAGGATATTGTTGGCAAGCACATTGCTAATCACATCAGCAACAGTGCAGAGACAAAGAGGAAAAGCACCAGGATGGAGGCAGGACTTAGAGATTGGCAGGAATCTACAAAGATGAAATCAAGAGGAAATACCACTCACAGTCTCAAAAATATTTTACACCAATCACAGAGCATTCTCATGAAACAAACAGAGAATTTGAAATCCTAACAAGGAAGGACAAATAGGGTGTTAATGGGCATCACTGAAACGTGGTGGGGTGACCTACAATGGAACATAGCCCTAGAAAGATACAACTTAACTCAGAAGGAATAAAGTCAGTGGAAGGGGAGAGGATGTTGTGCTGTAGATAAAGAAAACACATGCTTGTGCACAAATTCACAATTGTATAATGGAAATCCTGTTGAAAGATTCTGGGTGGAAATAAAAATAGAAACTAAAGTGATATCATTGTTACTATAGGTTGCCTGGACTGGAAAAAAATATGCATGAGGATTTTTATGTCAGATGATCAAAGTGACAGAGTTTTCAACAATTCTGACATCTGCTGGAAATCTCACCCTGTCAAAAGTTAGAGAGCCAATGAATTCCTATCCAATTTGCTGACAACTTTGTTTGTCAGAAAGTGGAGAACAAACAAGAGACCCGCTGTCCTGGACCTAATCTTTATCAGCAGAGAAGGTGGTTGAGGAAATGAAGATGACTTAGAACCTTGGACGAAAGTGACTATGTTATCCTTGGGAGACATTAGAAAGCAGAGTGGTTACACACAGAGCTTCTAAAAGGTGAAAAGAAAAAAGGATGTGTAGGAACTGCACAGAGGAGCATATACCCAAAGAAAGATACAAAACATTTGCTGGAAACTGTAAGGATTGTACCAGAAATACTGAAGCATGGAATGAGCCGAGGCTTGTGAGAAATACCCAAAACAACAAAAAGGCCTCTTTTGGGGGGTGGGGTGGGGGTGGTTAAGGAAAGGCAAAGAGGCCAAGGACTGTTACAAGGAGAAAGGAGTGGGAATGGTAAGGGATGATGGCAAGAAGGCACCACACCTTAATTCGGATTTTAGGTCTGTCCTCTCAGAAGGAAAAAAAAACCCTAGCAGGCCATTGTTGCACCATTAGAGGAAGGAGGGAGCTGCAGCTCAGTGTGTGTGTGTGTGTGTGTGTGTGTGTGTGTGTGTGTATACACACACACACACACATACTGAGCTGCAGCTCCCTCCTTCCTCTAATGGTGCATATATATATATGGAGAGAATCAAAGACCACTTAGCACATTTAAAGCTAGTGACAAATGTAAGGCAAATTTAAGGTCAAATCTCCAACACCAGTGGCTTCCATTGTAGGGTACTGAAGGAAGTAGCAATGGTGATCACAGAACTGTAATCCTTAGGAAATTCTGAAGTACTGACAAGGTCCCAGAAGATGAGAACAAATGTTGTCTCTGTCTTCAAAAAAGGAAACGACAGACATGTTCACACGACATTTATACTGTGCAAGGACCTTGAGCAGATGATTGTATGGCATATGTATGAGCACTTAGGAATGCAGCAGGGCTTGTCACAAACAAATCGTATCAGACTAGCCTATCTCCTTTTTTGATACTGTTACTGCTTAATAGATGGGGGGAATGCTTTGGACAGTAGTGTACCTTGACCTCAGCAAAGCACTGAACAAACCTCTCGTGATGTCCTCATTCATAACGTGGTAAAATATGGGCTAGATGGTGCAGCTGTCAGATGGATTCACAGCTGGCTGAATGGCTGCACCCATGCAGTCCTCATAAGTGGCTCCACGTCAGCTAGGAAGGAAGGGCCTAGTGGAGCACTGAACTCCACCCTGCACCCAGCGCGGTTCAACGTTTTTACTGAGGGCCTGGGTGAAAGGGTGGAGGGGAAGATTACCAGATTTCAAGATGACGCAAAACTAGGAGGAATGGCTGACCCTTTAGAGAAGAACGAGATTCAAAAAGATCCAGGCAAGCTTCGGCGGTGGTCCACAGCAAGCAGAATGAAATTTAACTGGGAGAAATGTGAAGTCCTGCATCAGGAGGGGGAAAATGAGGCACAAGCGTTGGCCGGGGGAGACCTGGCTTGGCACTGGGACACAGGAAAGGATTTCGCTGACAGAGCTGTCAAGCAATGCCTAATGAAGTCTTACTTTTATTGGAGGTCTTCAGACAGGCTTGGAAATCTTATGTCCGAAATGTTTTAGCAAATTCTGCACCAAGCGGGGGCTTGGATTCAATGAACCCTAATTTTTGACAGCAAAAAATGCCAGCTGAGAAATAACAGTTTTAAGAAATTTCAATGAAACAGCAGAACCTCGAGGAATGACAAGTGATTGTGATTTATTATACCAGCTGTAATTTAACAAGGCAAAAAACAGAAAGCAGGTGCCTCTTCATAGAACAGGTGCAGTTGGGGCACATGAGAAGGTGGCACGATGCAGGTCACTGACATCTTAGGCCACTCAGGAAATTTGTATAATTGCAATATGTACAAGACCAGTGTTTCTCTGTCCATTCTAATTTTGCAGCTTGAAGCATCAGACTTACAACATGGCCAAATAATCCCCGTTTTATCTGTGAAGTTTCTGCTGTCAGCTAGTTGTTGAATGTGGGGCTGAGTTGCTCAGAGGCCAAGGGCGAACCTTGGCCTGAAAAAGCATTCTCTAATGCAGTAGGACAAATTAAGCTTACTCTAGGATTGTCTTGGAGCACAGCAATACTTGAAGAAGAACCTTTGTTGAATAACTCCCTTCCTGTCCACTAGGTGTACATTCATAGGAAACCAGGATACATATGAGACTCACCTGGAAATGTGCAAATTTGAGGGCCTGAAGGAGTTCCTCCAGCAAACAGATGACCGCTTCCACGAGATGCAAGTGGCAATGGCTCAGAAGGACCAGGAGATTGCCTTCCTGCGCTCCATGCTGGGCAAGCTTTCAGAGAAGATAGACCAGCTGGAGAAGAATTTGGAACTGAAGTTTGGTGAGTCTCCACAGAAAGCAGGTAGCCCTGCCTTCTATTTCTGGGTGGCCCATGTATAACCCCCACCATCTTCCAGAGTTGCTTTCTCATTCTCCTGATATACTTCTATAATATCTTGAGAGCTGGTTTGGTGTCATGCTTAAGGCATCAGGCTAGAAACCAGGAGACCAGGAATTCTAGTCCTGCTTTAGGCACAAACCCAGCTGGGTGACCTTGGGCCAGTCCCCCTCTCTCAGCCCTAGAAAGAAGGCCAGGGCAAACCATTTCCAAAAGTGTGACCAAGAAAACTGCAGGGACTCATCCAGGCAGTCGCCAGGATCAAAGACTGATTCACAGGCACCTAAATGTCTGTCTGTCTGTCTGTCTGTCTTGGAGCAATTCATTTTCCTCTGACTTGTTGTTTTGGAGAAAAAGTGTTTTGCTTTTTTAAAAAAATCCCAGCTAGTCCTGCCCACGTGAAAAAGAAAATCTGGCACAACTCCAGGAACTCAAAATTGTTCACCCATATTCTAAATCAAAATTGAATGAGTAAACAAAATAAATACTTAACAGGAGATTTCAGAATAGCCAGCAAAGGCGAATGTGTATTCTCTTGCTGGTCATCTTAGCCAGACCTTTTGGTCGGATACCTTTTCAGGAGGAATGTTGAGTTTTTTGACCCATCCAAGACTAGAGTTGCTTTGGCAAGAGCACCCGTGATGCTGCTTGCAGGTGGGAGGAGTTCACTATTGCAGAGGCAGAACAGGCGGAGGGCCAGGCTTACTTGGAGGTGAATTGAGATGGAGGGCTCAGAACTCCATCGGGGCGCAGCATTTTCTCAGCAGTCCTTACAGTATCTCTGCATGGTGGCTTAGTTTAGATGTTCTTGTACTTGCTTAAAATGACACTGAAGCTCAGAGAGCAGGGGCTTGCCTGAGGCTCTCTAGGAAGCGAAACTGCATTGTTGGGCAGTTAGTCCAAGTGCCATAAGCAAATAATAAATCACCAAATTGTGGCAGAAAAAGATTCTTTTGCATAAAGAAATCTATTAGCTGTTTGCACTGCAGCAACTTCCAGCATAATATTTCTGGAGCAGGAGACTAAAATAGATTGGGATTAGTTTGGGTTTAAGGCTTGAAAAGAGGAACACATCACTGGTTTTATTATTTACTTGCATGTGCAACCAGAAATTGTACAGTATGTCCCATTTTCCTAACTGTCATTGTGCAGATGTACTGGATGAGAACCAGAGCAAGCTGAGTGAAGATCTGATGGAGTTCCGGCGGGATGCCTCCATGCTCAATGTGAGTGGTATTTCCTCCCCAGGGCTAGTGTAGATTGGCCCTGGAAATGAGTCTCCTCCGTATGTTGGGAGCTTGGCTCTTGCTAGTTCACCTCCTTCATGAGCATGTGGCAAAAATGGGAATCTCGCCTCCACATTCCATACACTGGCCGGCAGATATACAAGAAAATGTCCTCTTCACGCAAGGGAAACTAATGTAGCCTAAGGGGAAAAACACATAGACAAAACACACCTTACACAAAGCCTCACCGATCCCTAATACCCAATCCACCAAAAAAATTTCACTAAAAATGGCAAAATACAGATTCCTGCCCTTTCTATAGATACATATCCACAAGCATCAACGAAAGACCTCAGAAATCTGTAAAATTCCCGCCTCACAAAAATACATCCCAACAGAGCCCAAGCATCAAGAAACCCATAATGGTAATGCATTATTAATCTCCTCTGTTTCAGAATAACATCCCCCCCACTCACACACGCGCGCACACAGACAAAATGCTCACAAGAAACAGAAAGCTCACTTTACAATTGTGAATCTCCTGGGTGTTCTGCATCTCAGCCGCCTAGAGTAGTTGAGGTGACATACGGATGGATGGGTGGGTGGATGGATGGATGGACGGACGGACAGAGGGATGAATAAATGAATACATCTTGAGGGAAGAAATGGCAAATAAAACAAACGTGGAATTCTCTGAACAAGCCATGAATTCTTTCCTCTGGCTTCTTTATAAGTCATAGTTAAAACAAACCATAGTTTCAGTTGGTGTGTGAATACAACTACCGATTTGTTCATCAAATTATAGTTCAAACAATCATGATTTGGAGCTGAACACAGCATGGTTCAAGAAGCCAAGGCTTGCAAAAGCAGCTTGAGATCAAAGCCAGTGCCCCTGCCAGTTACTGCTGGCGCCCTGCTCTGCCGTTCCTGGGAATTGGCCTTCATCCTCTCAGTCTGTTATGGTGGCTTGGGGCTCACAAGCCCGCCTCTTCCTGCTGTCCAGCAGAGCGGAGAACAGCCTCCTTAACTTCTGCTCCTGTCTTGCATCAGTGTCACAGTTAGCATTTTGCCTGCTTTGCCTTTATAATCTGCCTCGTTTCTCTCTCCAGGATGAACTGTCTCATATCAATGCCCGGCTGAACATGGGGATTCTGGGCTGTAAGTATACTTTTCTTTCTCCTTGAGCAGAAGTTGATATTCTTGGTCTCTGGGTTTAGAGAAGCTTTTCTTCTTTATCATGTAAAACTCCTAACCTCTGACTCAGAAGTTCTGATCTCAGAATGAGTGTATATTCTGAGAGCTAGTTGGATTTTTTTTTTCCTTTCAGTAAGAGCAACTTTCTGTTGCAAAATGTAGGCAAGCAAAATAAACAATTTCATTGGATCGTCCTAGGCTGGAATAGGAATATGCAAGCTTTCCAGTGTTACAGTTTTTTTCTTTATCCAAAAGACTGGAAAATAGATTTAATTCAGAGAATGTTACTGAGTGCACTATTGACCTGTTTTATTCTATTTAATGATATTTTGATTGTACTTTTGTTTCTGATAGCCTTTTCTTTAGCTGGTAGTGTGTATGAATCACCTGCTGAATCTGATTGGCAGTAAATTCAAAGCAGTTGAAAAGCCCTTTTCACACAATTCTTTTGTTTTAAATTACCATTTTCACTGGCTCCTGGGAACCTCCTTTTTTTGTCTGGATTACTCTGCCTGCCCTCCTCTTGCTTCCTTTTCAAACAATGCAAGGCTCCCAAATTTGATCCCTGGGCCACCCAGTTTGTTTGTTTACTATATTTATATCGCCACCCATCTCATAAATACGTGGCTCTGGGCGGCGTACAGCAACAGTTAAAAACTCCGCAACAATCTGAAAACAAAGATAAACACATAAACCCAAGAAAGCAGGAGAACAAACATCACTTAATCTCATACAGCCGCCTTGCAGGCTCTCCCTGGCATCACCAAGGTTTGTGAAAAACCATCTTTTAAGGGCCTTCCAGCAGGCTAACAGAAATAGGGCTAACCTCCCCTTGTCCAGAGGGCAGGGGCCACAGCAGAAAAGGAACACTGCCTGGGTCCCACCAGACGCAGCTCCTTGGAGACGGGACCCACAGCATAGCCCTCCTGCTTGACCTGGTAGGACGGGTAGAGGCGTTCCTCAAGCAACCTGGTCCCGTGCCATGTGGGGCTTTAAAGTCTCATCAACACTGATTGGCCACAGAGTCTCCAGCTTTCTGGCTG